ACAGATACAAGAGGTGTGGATAACTTCAAAAGCAGAAACATTTGTGTTAACATAATCAAGAAGTGGTAAGTGTTTCATACTACGTTTGCTCTTTTGACAAACTTTGTGAGCATATGTAATTTAATTTTTAGTGATGGCTATGCTTGACAACTGACCTGTGACATTACTGACATGTGGACAGTTGGCTCTCCCAAGCAGGTCCAAGTTGGCCCCAGCCGCCTATGGTGCTGTGCTGTGCCCTCTTGCCCATGGCACCAGGACCTGCTCTGAAAACTCTGTGGGGCTTGGCATTGGCCCACCTTCTCTTCATCCCAGGCGTCACTCTTTGGAACACCATGTTTAAGCAGGGGCTGTCTCTGGGTTTCTCTGTGTAGCCCGTGTTCAATCCTAGGGACCCTCACTCCTGGCCCCTTGTCTGGTAGTCACCTTCCACCCAAGGTTAAAAAGCACAGGGTTTCTAGCCAGGTGTGGTGGCGTGTGCCTATAGTCTCAGCTACTCAGGAAGCTGAGGCAGGAGAATCGCTTGAACCTGCGTTCCACCACTGCATTCCAGCCTGGGCGACAGAGCGAGACTCTGTCTTAAAAACAAAACAAAACAAAACAACAACAACAAAAAAAACAGCGTTTGGATGCAGGCACACCTGGCTCCCATTCTGGACCTGACCTTTAACAGCTGTGTGACCATCAGCAAGTAAGTTAATCCCAAAGAGCCTCATTTGTCTCATCTGTATAATAGGGGTAAGTAACTGACAGGTCACCTCAAAAAAGTTTCCTTGGGTCCCTTGGTCATCCCTGCCTCCCACCCATCTCCCCAACTCCATTCCCAGGCAGCCACTCACCTACTTTCTATCACTATAGATTGGTTTGCATTTTGTAGCATTTTTTTTTTTTTTTTTTGAGACAGAGTCTTGCTCTGTTGCCCAGGCTAGAGTGCAGTGGCACGGTCTCAGCTCACTGCAACCTCCACCTCCCAGGTTCAAGCGATTTTCCTGCCTCAGCCTCCCAAATAGCTGGGATTACAGGCACATGCCACCACCACCACATCCGGCTAACTTTTTTTCGTATTTTTAGCAGAGATGGGGTTTCACCATGTTGATCAAGCTGCTGTTGAACTCCTGACCTCGTGATCTGCCCACCTTGTCCTCCCAAAGTGCTGGGATTACAGGCGCGAGCCACCATGCCAGGCGAACTTTTGGTCTTGTCTGCAGCCTGGCTAGCTTGAGTCTAGGCTTTCCACTTCCCTTTGAGCCTGTGAGAGCTTCCCCACAGCCCTTCAGCGAGTACCTTTCTGGGTCAATGCTCTTTGCACTGAGAATGCTGACAGGTGCAAGGGAGGCGCTGTGTTCCCATTTCCCAGCTGAGGAAACACAGCAGAGAGAGGTTAGGTGTGTTGCCCAAGGTCACACAGTTGGCAGTGGCGGAGCCAGGATTCAAACCAAGTTCACGTCTCCTTCAGGACGTTAGGACTATGTATCATAATAAAGTGTCCTCTCATGCACCATTCTGACCACCTGGAAGTGGGCAGATAAGGGACTGGCTCAGGGTTGTGGAAGCCGGGCCTGTGCCCCCACCACACAGTGCCACCTGCCCTCAAGGCTGAGTAGAGCATGGAGCTTCGCATGTGTTGAGAGGGAAGTGGAAGGAGCTGAACGCCTTCGTTGATTTGTTGAGCAATCTTGTACTTATTGACAGCTGAATATGCGTCAGGCACTGTCCCTGGCACCAGCAAGGCAGCAGCAAAACAACAGTGAGAAAGACAGTCGACATGGCACACACTGTCACATCGGGTGACAAGCGCCACGGAGGACAAAGTGGGGTGAGGGATGGGGAGTGAGGGGAGAAGTGGCTGCTTCAGCCCGGTGGGACCGGGAAGTCCTCTGCAGGTGAAGACTGAGAGAAGTGAGGAGTGAGGGGGACCCGAAGACAGAGGCAGAGGGGATGGCAAGGCAAAGGCCCCACATGGGAATGAGCCCGGCAGGTTTGAGAAGCATAAAGCCCAATGTGGCTGGAAGGAGGGAGCCAGGCAGGGGTGCAAGATGAGGACATGGGGTGGGTGGGGTCTTGGATTTCTTTGAGGCTAGTGGGAAGCTTTTGGGAGGCTTTAAAGGCTGCAGGGCAGTGGGGGTCTGATGAATGCATCAGGCGGTTCACTCTGCGGTGGAGCGATGACATGAGCCACAAGGAGACACAGTGGGAGGCAGAGACACTGCTGAGAGGCCTGAGGGGTTGTGGTGGTGTCCGGGTAGGGGCACTGGGGTGGAGGACACAGTGGTGAGATGTGGGCTCCAGGACCACTGACTATTGTGCAGGATCTGGTGCTGGTGGGCAGCGAGTTCCCAGGGAGGGGAATTTGTGTCAGGGATGAGAAGACAGGGGCTGGGGATGCCTGGGGACTGTGGGCCCAGAGCAAAGAGGAGCTGTGACACCCAAAGAAAGGGCCGGGCCTGTGGCCTTTCCAGGGCAGGGGAGCCCTGAGCAGTTGGGCAGGGCTGGGCTGGGCTGGGGCTGAACCAGTTGGGCTGACAAGAAGGCTTGGGTAGGACCTGACAAGGAGGACTTGCTTCGGGGTGTCAACCTGTACCAGGCTCAGGCTGCAAGGCCAGGTAGTGTCACTGTAACCCTCACCTGGTTGACACAGGGTTTGGACCCAGGGATTTCCTTCCAACCCTGTAATATCACCATGTACTTTAAACAGCTACTGGGCTGCTTGACAGTTTCTAGGGCTGAGGGAGGACCCAAATGGTGGAGAAGAGGCAGCTACAGGCTGAGAACTCAGAAGGGGAATCTCAGCAGAAAACACCCCCAAGGAGCTGAGTCCTGCAGGAGCTCCCACTACGAGAACTGACGGTGTTGTGGGAGCAGGTCCAGCCACACAGAGGAAGTTCCAGTAGAGCAGGCTCGGAAGTTGACAGTTCAAATCCTGGCTTGCCTCAGTGCTGCTGGCTTTGGTCCGCAGCTCCCTCTAGCCAGCACACACCCAGCTGGGGAGCCACTCAGGGCTGGACAGGGGTCAGGGAAAGGGTGTTCATGCCACGTGCCCTGGACCAAGAGGCTGGAGAAAACCTTCAGTTTCAGGCTGCCTAGGGCAAAGGTGGTGATCTTTGGCAGTGCAAAGTGCCCTGGGTTTGTGGCTGTCCTTTGGCCTCCAGTTTCAGCGCCAGCCTGGGAGTGTCCAGAGAGATGGTGTGAGATGGTACCTGTCCCTCCCATCACAGTGCCCAAGTGGGAGGAGGCATGCTGACCCATGCAGCAATACACACAACCCACAGGCCTCATCTCTGCCTCTCCCAGGCAAGCAAAGGAGCAGACTGCAGCAGCCCCCAGATGTGGCTGTTGCCTTGGAAGGAAGAGGAAGGGATCCAGGTGGGAGAGCCCACACGTGACACCAGTAACCCCCACCCCAAATCAGCTACCTCCATACTGACTGGTCAATGCCTGAGCCACGCTGGTTGGTAAATATTTTGAGCATCACCTCATTCCGTGGGACCAGTGGACTCATTTGTGAAAACTACCTGGAAACTCCTTTCTAGCAATTTTAGCTTTGCCCTTCTTTCATGGTGTGCAAAGGGCATTCATTCTCAGCAATGCAGAAGGCAACCTCCAGCTTGTCTCTCTTGAAGTTGAGCCTGGTCCTTGGAGGCTGGGGGAGGAGACAACCCATTTCCAAGGGCTCCCAGGAGGCCAGGCTGTCAGAGCTGTACTAAAATGTAAGGTTTGCTCTTGAGAAGGCTCAAAGATCCTCCTTCTCATGGGAAGCGTGGAGTCCCTGCAGGGGCCCCAACTCTCGTCCAGGCCTGCAAGGTCAGAGGCCCTTTTACTGGTCCCCCCAGATTTGAGCTCCTGCTGTGCTTGCTGGGACGGCCAGATGTCCCTCCTGACTCCAGGGAAAGGAAGTTCCGGGCTCCTCTCCCCTCTGACCCCAATGCCGTGGGTCCTGCCAGTTGCTATTCTATGTCTTCAGACTCTCCTCATCTTAAGATTCACTTTCTGCAGACTCCACCACCTCCTCAACCGTTTTATCCAGCTCTGCCTCTGGATACAGGTGTGGGACCCCACTGACAGGTCAGGCCAGGGCCACTGTGCATCACCATCCCCATGCAGCACCCTCATTTCCCCTCCCCTTCTGCCAGGACCTGAGCTCTTTCTACTTCCCAGCATCACCGAGCTTACTCCATCCACCTCCTCAACTCCCATTTCCTCTGCAAGTCTCAGTGATAACAGCAGCCAATGTTGACTGAGTTCTTCATCGTCTGCATCAACGATCTCAGTGAATCCGCACAGTAACCTACAAGGCAGGAATCATTACCCTCTTTTTCAGACGAGGAGACTGATCTTCCGAAGGTTCAAACTGCACATTGCAGAGCTGGACTGTGACCCACACTAAGTCTGGACCTGCCCCATCACGAGGCGAGAGCCGTCTCTTCACAGTTCTCACCCGGGGGGCTGGGCTGGGGCCACTGGAAGCCTGAGAGAGGCCATCTCCTCCTGGTCCTCCTCCCCGCTGAAAGTGCTCCCTTGACTTGAAGTCGCCCACTGTCCAGATGCTCCTCTCTCCCCTGCCCACAGGCTCAGTCCTCAACCCTCTCATCCCTCGGCCACAGTGCATGCCCCTACACCTCCAAGCATCATCTCTGGGTGGACACTCATTTCCTCTCCTGCCCACTCAGTTTTCCAGCTGACTGGTGGACATTTGCCCCCAGAGATGCTTGGACAACCCCAACCGAATGCATTCCACATCCAAACTCCTGATTGCTGCCCTCCCAAGCCCCCTCCTTCTCTCTCAAGAGCCCCATCCTTCTGCCTCCTCGTTACATGGGCTCCACCTGCCAACACCAGCTCTGCCATCCTCCTCTCCCTCAGCCTCCACAAGTCATCATCATGTCCTTCCCACTTCCTGCTCCCAATACCACTATCCTGGTTCTCCTTCCCAAGTTCTGAGCACAGGGCCCTGGAGAGCACATGCTGAGACCGTAAGAATGAACCACCATTTGCCTCAAGTGTTCACTCATCCAACAGTTATTTATTGAACGCCATGGACCAGGCACTGTGCCCAGCAGCTGGGATGCAGCGCTGAACACGAGACAAGCCCCTGCCCTGGAGGGGCTTACATCCCGGCAGGGTAAACAACCAGTAACTTCAGAAACCAAATACCCATCACGTGAGTGCCACGGGAAAGGTATGCTGAGCAAGGAAGGGCAGTGCCAGGGTCAGGGTGCCACTGTACGGGGTGATGGGGAGACCCTCCTCCCTGGAGAGGGCGGCATGATCCTAGTGGGCCGAGGTCAACTGCCAGGGTCAAATGGAACACAACTCACATTCTCAGGAAGACATCCCTAATACAAATCCAGGGACTTTGCTTCTTAACCTTTAAATTGGAAACACTTCTTGCTACCAGGGATGGGGGATGGGGCTCAGTGTTTGGGGAAACAGAGTGGGAGTCTTCTGCTGAACAGACTTAAGTTTTGAATTATATGAATGTATTTCCTTTTTTGAAAGGAAAAACTGAAATAGGAAAGAATTTTAAGTCTTTTGGAAAGAATTAATCATTTTCATGGAACTACTTCCCTACAGGGGGCCTGTTTTCCTATCTGCCAACTTCTGCTGAAACACTGCAGATGGAGAAGCCTCCAGTGCTCCCCAGAAGGGACAGTCTTAACCCAGAGGACAGCATCCACCAGCCTGCAAGCACCGACCCTGTGCTGCAGTGTGAGTGCAGCGCACACTGGGCTAACCATCACCACAGTGAGCCTGGCACCCTTTTGCAGGAGGGTAGACTCAGGAAGGTGAAACTCAGGATGTCTGCCAGGAGCTGACAAATCCTTCTGGGACTCTCATACTTCAGAGGCTCTCCAGTTTGGCTATTGCTAAACTTGGACTAGCCCCTACTACCGATCTTAATATCCATGTACCAAGCATTGCTGCATCCTATTTGGAAAGCAATGGACAGACAGCCAAGCTGAAAGCCCTTACTAAAGACTGGTCCACAAGATCAGATTTAGCTGCCCCTGGTTTGAGCCTTGCTCCCCTGGTGTCTTTTCTGGTGAAGCTGGGCCCAGAGAGGGTTTTACTAAGTGGGCTCCATGGTAGTAGAAGTGGTGGGGAGAGAAGGCTGGCTCTATATGTGTCAGAGGCCTGAATAAACAGGGAGTTGAGAAAGCTCAAGATATCCTGACTTAATCCTCAATGTGGCAAGCACAGGGCCATGGCCAGGCCTAGAGGAAGGTGGGCTGTTTGGAGTATGGCCCAGGAGGGTGTGATGTGATCAGGTAGCAGGTAGGGAAATGGGTCATTGTCCTCTAAATATTACATATATCACAAAGTTACTGACTGCAGTCTCCACGAATTCAGGCTGCTAGTCCGATGCACTGTATCCCAACAATCTGAGCACTCTGTCAAAGATGCTCACAGAGACAACAGGAGCAGGCAGAGCTTTGTTTCCCTCTTAATCTTCAGAGCCTAGAACTGAGCTTGGCCCTCACCAGGCACTTAGAAATTGCATAATGAAAGAATTTCAGATTTTTATTAGTGGCAGTGAGCACTGAAAACCCAGTATTTGGCCAGGTCCAGTGGCTCACACCTGTAATCCCAACACGTTTGGGAGTCCAAGGTAGGAGGATGGCTTGAGGTAAGGAGTTAGAGACCAACCTGTGCAACATAGTGAGACCTTATTCTACTAAAAAAATAAAACTAGCCAGGAGTGATGGTTGCGTGCCTGTGGTTCCAGCTACTTGGGAGGCTGAGGTGAGAGGATCACTTGACCCCAGGGCTTCGAGGCTGCAGCGAGCCATGATCACGCCACTGCACTCCAGCCTGAGCCACAGTGTGAGATCCCCATCTCACAAAAAAAGGAAAGCCGAGTATTCCATATAACCTTAACACACACCCACACACACATATATATATATATATATTTTTTTTTTTTTTGAGACAGAGTCTTTCTGTGTCTCCCATGCTGTAGTGTAGTGGCATGATCTCCGCTCACTGAAAGCTCTGCCTCCCAGGTTCACGCCATTCTCCTGTCTCAGCCTCCTGAGCAGCTGGGACTACAGGCGTCCACCACCACGCCTTGCTAATTTTTTGTATTTTTAGTAGAGACAGGGATTCACTGTGTTAGCCAGGATGGTCTTGATCTCCTGACCTCATGATCTGCCTGCCTTGGCCTCCCAAAGTGCTGGGATTACAGGCGTGAGCCACCGCACCTGGCCATTTTAAAAAGATGTTTATGGCTTTGCTGATAGCAGGCCGGAAAGCTAGCTGAATTTGCAGGTAAGCTTAAGCAGTTAATGAAAAATTATTGTGGCTTGTCCAAAGGGATTGAGTTTTCCAAATAAAAAAACGGGCTTTAGTTTTATGCCATTGTAAGAGGCAGTGTGAGGGATGTTTTGATGCCCACTTTGAATCTGTAGGACCACTCAATGATTTTCTAAAACCATTGGTTTCTGGCAGGCAAAACATTCAAAATCTCAAGGTTATCTCAGGAAATCTAGCACAGGGGCTGTCCTACAGTAATTCATTAAACCACATAACAAACGAACTCAAGAAGAGGGATGTAGCTCTGGATTTGTGACCCTCAACATAACACTTACCACCTTGGGCTTTGGCTTCAACCTCAGTTAAATGGAGGGACACAGAAGACTCTTTGGCTCTTATACTCTATGACATGATCACTGACCACCTTAGAAAATCAAGCCTATTTAGACCACGGTTTGTGAGAAGTCACTTAATCTCTTTGAGGCTCAGTTTCATCTATAAAAAAGATGATAACATTGGGAGAAGCCATCTGCAGCAATGAGGAAAGAAAAGGACAATGAAGTCAAGTGAGCAGTCTCGAATCTCAGCCCTGTGTAACTGGAACTGGGTCTACTTCCTTCATCTGCAAAATGGGGATAAGAATGTCTGTTGTAAGGACTGTTGAATGATCTTGCTCATGCCAACTTACACAAGGTACAAAATAAACACTGATCTCCTTTATTCTGATTTCACATTCAGCAAATGAGAGAAATGTGAATGTACTGAAATGTCTGCCAGAAAAAGAAAATCCAACCCTTCAAGAGAATGCTATCAGGGGTTTTGACATCTATTCACCTACACTTCCCTCTTCCACAGTAAGAGGCCCACCTTCTGATCCACATTGCCCATCTCTGCGCTTATCATGGAGCTTTCAAGAGTGAGGATCAGAGGCTGTATGGAGCAGTGGGCACAAACCACAGGGAGCGCTGTTCAAAAATGGAAAACGAGGTGGCCCTGACACGGGGTGCTGCTGGGCAGCCTCTCAGACCTGCCCTGCAACAGCATCAGGAGGCTGAGAGTCCCCAACCAGAAGGCCCGAGAGGGGCCCAGGCTGGAAACTTTACTGCGAAGCAGCCCTCATCTCAAGGTGGCTCAACAGCACACCTGAGATCTAGCCCATGCGACAGCGTGGGAGCAGGAGGCCCTACTCCACCGCAGTAAGAACATTTATGGGCACCTAAGCTCTGGGAGAATGGCACCTGAGGGAACAGGGCGTGCCCATAAGCAGAGCTCCAGGAGGGAGAAGAGGCAGCCCTGCTCCTAGTCTTAGCCAGCATGCGTCATGTCCAGGCCCCAAAAGGGTGACCCTGGCTCAGGTTCTCATGCTCCAGAAGCTGGCCCAGGTGGCAGTGGGTTCCCTGTGGAGGCAGCTCATCATTCACAACACAGCAACGAACCTTCTGCTCCCATGAGGATAATGTATTTTAAACTTGGGAAGAGTCATAATTCTGGGATGTTCCACATGTTGTCAGCTTTAACCTTCTACAGACACAGGGCCTCTCCTCTGGGAGGAGGGACCTCTGGCATGTGTGGGTGTGTGGTGGGTCCCTCTCCCTATTAGCAGAAATGTGGTGGGCATGCGCCAGGTTTATGATTTGGATCGTGTCCTGCACATAACACCTGTGAGAATACAACTGGGACTAGGACAATGCAGGAAGCATATTCTTCATGAGGTGGTAACCAAAAGGCTCGGCTATACAAAAGGAATTCTGGTGGCAGGGCATGGTGGCTCACACCTGTAATGCCAGCACTTTGGGAGGCTGAGGCAGGTGGATCACTTGAGGTCCAGGAGTTCAAGACCAGCCTGGCTAACATGGTGAAACCATTTCTACTAAAAATACAAGAATTAGCTGGGCGTGGTGGTGGGTGCTGTAATCCCAGCTACTGGGGAGGCTGAGACAGGAGAATTGCTTGAACCCAGGAAGCAGAGGTTGCAGTGAGCCAAGATTACACCACTGCACTCTAGCCTGGGTGACAGAGCAAGACTCCGTCTCAAAAAAAAAACAAAAAACCCACAAAAAAACTACAAAAGGATTCTGGGTGTAACAATCTCAATAGAGACAGCAGGTGACTCTGGTTCTTCTAAAATTCTGCCCTTACTTGCCACTCACCACACCCCCAAATCTGAAGGGCCAGCCCATTTCTACCTATGACACCTCACCAGTAAGTAAAGGCCATGGGACCTCGGAAGTCTGTGGTGCTAAGGATGAAGACTCCAGTCAGAGAAGGTGCTCAGCCCTAGTGAGGAGGTTCTGGGAAGCAGGTGGGTCTGCTCAATGCAGTCCCTAACCCTTGGGAGCGTCCGTGTGTAAGGTAAAGGTGCAAGTGGCTTGGGCATGCTGACTCCCTGCTGAGGAAGGCAGGGCCCCTCACATCTGCAGCGGCCGTGTGCATCAGAGAACGGCATGGCTGCACATGTGAGAACTGGGCACACCCGAGCAGTGTCAATAGGAATCCCTTCCCCATTCCATGCCAAACAGTCTTCCCCAGACACAAAGGTTCCAGGTCCTGAGGCTTGACTCCTCTATGGCTCAAAATGGGTTCTGTTTCCAGACGTGCTTGTCTTTGCTTGTCTTAAGGACTCTATTTCAGCCCAATCCTTGACCCTCAGACAAACTGGGACAGGTTGGGAACTTTGATGTTGAGATCGCCAATGTTGATGTTCCGAGGAATCTCTGGCAGGTTGATGTTTTTCACAGCAGACACAGCCCGCGCAGGGGCTGCTGAAAGGCCACCCTGAGAAGAAATGAGAGGCGAGTATGAGACAAATTCTTAGTGTTACCTGCTTAACGCTAAAAAAAAGAAAAGAAAAGAAAAGCAAAAACAAAAACAAACAAGCTCACGCCTGTAATCCCAGCACTTTGGGAGGCCAAGGTGGGTGGATCACCTGAAGTCAGGAGGTCGAGACTGGCCTGGCCAACATGGTGAAACCTCATCTCTACCAAAAATACAAAAATTGGCCGAGTGTGGTGGCAGGCGCCTGTAGTCCCAGCTACTAGGGAGGCTGAGGCAGGAAAATCGCTTGAACCTGGGAGGTGGAGGTTGCAGTGAGCTGAGATCACGCCACTGCACTCCAGCCTGGGCAACAGAGAGAGACTCTGTCTCAAAAACAAACAAACAAACAAACAAAATAACAGGTGAGGGATGCCTAGAGAAATTCCAAACTGAGCACACACAACTGAAGTTTTAATTTTCCCCCCTTATTCCTCAAAAGTAGCCAACAAAACAATCTTGAGGTTAGATGGGGTTTGGCACAGGGATCCAAAGCCTGCAGTCCTACTAGACTACCAGTTCCTCAGAGGTGGGGTGTGGCCTATGCAGTTTCACAGCCCCAGCATCTCATAGTGCCTGGCACATGGTGGGTACCCAAAAAATGCTGAAATAATCTAAGGTGGTTTGTCAGGGGCACTTTTCTGGTTACAAAACAAAACCCCTTCCTCAAAAGACTGAAGACTCTTACTCAAACGTGCAAAGTCACAGGGAAATTCTTAAAAGGAAAAGAAAAGCCATGGCTCTAGGGCAACTGCTTGCCAACTAATAATGTGAAATGAAAAGAGCTGGCTTTGGAAGTGTCGTGTGGCAACAAGCTGGGAGAAGGTGGGGGGTATCACAGATACAGAAGGGCTGGTGACAAAACGCAGAGTATGCACATCTACAGTGAACCCCCTACCTGGCAGGCTCATCTCCATGTGGAGAGAAGGGCAAAAGTGGATGAAGACTCTCTCACAATCATTTTTCCCCTATTGCCTTCTTTCCGAATGCCAACTCCAATTCTGCCCTCACCCAGCAAGTCTCCATTTCTTCTCATTTCCAACCCCCTTGCCTCTGACTCACTTACTATTCCTGGAATCTTCCCAGCCTACATTTCTGAAAGAACTATAGCTGTCACAATAGCTGTGGTCTGCAAAAGCTTCTTCCGCAGGACTGCCAGTCCTCACAGAAAGAATTCCTGGTTTCGCAAGATCAAGTTCCGTTATACAAGGCAAAGAATCTCTTTAAGACACTCAGATAATTAAAGAGGTAATTTGTTCTGCTATTTCTGCATGTGAAAGTATATGTCTGTAACCTCTGTGCTCTGGTAAGGCTGAGGAAGGGGATGGAGAGACCTCAGAGGGATAGGACAGAATTTATGTGAACATCTGTATCAAGCCCAGTACCATGTGAGGGTGGACTGGGGTATGTTATTTCCAAGCCTAGCCCAAACTCTACTGTAGTTTTTTATAAGGCTAACTGGAAATAAGGAAATTGGCAACTCTGAGGTCTGAAAGACACCACGAGAAATGGCTGTTGGGAGATCAGACTCTTAGAGCACACAAACTAGGAAACCACAATGGAATAGGAGAAGAGGGTTCTGGGTCCCTCCAGGGAACGAGTGGCTTTCAAAGGAGGAATTACAAACCACAAACATGGGTCATAACCCCCAAGCCAAAAGCTGTTTGCTTTCCTCTGCCATCTGGCTTTTCTATTTACTCTTTTACCCTGAAAGTCTGAGATTTCAAACCTTGTTATCTGTTTAATTTTCAGGGCTGGTTGACCTTCAAATCCATGAGTTTCAATGGACTCAAGGAAGAAAGAAGATGAGTATCATTTCCTGAGGTTTCACAGCAACACAAACCAACACATGTACACACTCCTGCCTCTGCCCAGGTTTTCTCTACCCAGCCAGGGCTAGAACACAGTTGCTTACTCACCTCGGATTTCTCCAGCCTGTTTTGAGCTTCAATCTGAGCCACGATTTCATTCATGTTTGTTTCCAACACCATCCCACCCATCACCACCTCCTGGAGGATGTAGTGCACCTAAAGCGGAAGCAAAAGCAGAAGAGTCAGAATACTCTGTGGTGGTCAAAGTGTAACCCATGAGGTTTCCTTTTCCTGCAGCAGCAGAGTGGTCAGATATGACAACAGGTCCTGACTCAGAACTCAGACACTCAAGCCCCTTTGCCCATCCACCTCTCCAGTGACACCACGAGGGGTCTCTCCCAGGTCTTGGCACAGGGCAACATGAATCTCTCCCCTCAGCAGTGAGGTGGTAGCTATGAGCACAGGCTTCAAAGTCAGGCAGCTCTTGTTTAAATTCTGGCTCTGCTACTTGCTAGCTGGGTGGCCCTGGGCAAATTATCTTTAAAGTGCTTCAGCTTCCTTCCAGGATTGCAGTGAGGGCTAGATGAGATAAATATGTATAAAGCACCTAGCGTGGTGCCCAGGACACACTGGGTTCCAAGTAAGTAATTATGGCTTTCATTATTAATATCACCATCGTCAACACTGACTGTCATTAAGTAGGTCCACTTATGACAGAATAATCCCTATCCAAGCAACTGAAATGAATGTCTCCCACCTTCCATAAGGCAGATCCTCCAGGCTGTGCTCCACTGAAGGGACGTGATCAGAGCAAGATAGAGCCCAATTCCTTTGCACCTCTCCTAACCTCATTTCTTACTGCTTAGATTAGAAAGCAGATTCAGCATAAACACCTTTCTAAGCATAAGGCTCACATTTGGGCTTAGGTTCCATCTAGCTAGTTATCTAAACAAAGCTGAATCTCAGTGTACCTAACCACTGTGATGGGAGAGGTTGACTCAACCACTGTACCCCATCATAGTAGGAAAGCTGTCACAGAAAGCCCTGGGTGGGTCAAAGCAGAGATGCCCACTGGGGTTCATAAGGAATGGTACTGCATATTTCAAACCAAGTCATATCAAATGGCCCTCAAGGTGCTTTCCATCAAGGTGGGAAGATAGCAAGTACAACCTTCTATTGTTAACTAAGTGCCAAATGATTGGGATAGTCCTGGGGAAGTCAGAGAAGAAAGGGAACTGTGGCTAGAGAGATCAGAGAGTTTCACAGAGACAGTGGGAGGACTGAAGCTGGGCTCTGACATTAGAGAAGCAGGGAAAGAATTTCAGGTAGAAGGTGTTGGAAGGTGCAATTCAGCTGGTGTATGGGCAGGTATGGGGAGCTTCTGGGTCTGGCTGGGATGGCAACTTTATTTACGCAGGAGAGAGGCTAAGACAAGGCTGAGAAGGTAATTTGTGTCTGGAGCAGGACTTCTCAGCCTGGGTACCAGTGACATCTGGGGCCAGAAAATTATCTGCTGTGGGGCTGTCCTGTCACTGTGGCCTGTTCTCTGGCATCCCTGGTCTCTACTCCTCCAGCTTGACAATCAAAAATGTCTCCAGAATTGTCATATGTGTTCCAGGGGGCAAACTCACCCCAGCTGAGCACCACTGGTCTAGAGTCTACAGTCAACCACCAGTTTACTCTGTAAGCAATGCAGAGTCAAGAAGAAAGATGTGTCTGCATATCTGGGCACTGTGCACTTCTGACATCTGAAGTTCTCTGGCATTGGCTCCCTGTATTTTGCCCTCAGGAAGTGCAGGGAACTTCTGATCTTGAGGACAGAGTATAATAAATCAAATGTATTCCCGTGTATGTGTGCCCACATTGAGCCTTATTAACCACTGTTCTGTCTACATACACACACACTCTCACGAGGTGTTCTTACATTTTATACAATATGAATTATTCATTAGCTATATGCAAATAAAGATTTAATGGTAAAAGTCTCATATTTAGATAATTTACAAAATGTTAAACAAGATTGGTTTTAAAATAATTCCCTGGGGGAATTCCACTGTTTATACTTGTCCCCATCAATAAATAGGCCTCTGAAAACAGTATGGTGGTTCCTCAAAAAGATTAAAAACAGAATTACCATATGGCTCAACTATTCCACTTTTGGGTACACACTCAAAAGAACTGAAAGTAAAGACTTGAAGAGAATGTATACACCCATGTTCATAGCAGTATTATTCACAACAGCCAAAAGGTGGAAGCTGCCCAAGTGTCCATGAACAGACAATTGGATCAACAAAATGTGCCACAGAAATACAACAGAATATTATTCAGCCTTAAAAAGGAAAGGAATTCTGTTTTTTTGGTTTTGTTTTGTTTTGTTTCCACCTGAATTGAGACGCTGTAAAAGGGAAGGGAATTCTGAGACACACTGTAACACAGATGAACCTTGAAGACACTGTAAGTGAAACAACCCACACACAAAAGGATGAGGACTGTGTGATTCCACTCCTACGGGGTACCCAGAGTAGCCAAATTCAGAGACAGAAACTGGAATGGGGGCTGCCATGGGCAGGGGGAAGAGGGCGGCGGTCACAGGGCTGCTGTTTTGCAAGATAAAGAGCTCTGGAGATGGATGGTGGCGGCGACTGCACAACAATGTGGACATACTTAATGCCACAGAACTGTAAGTTTAAAAATGGTGAAGACAGGAAACTTTGTTACATATTTTACCACAATTTAATAAAAAAGGAGAGAAACAGTCCTCTATACCTGTACTTTCAGTATTTATTCCTTTTGTTTAGCCAATCCCTGTGTGGGTAGAAAGTAGTACTTGTTGAGTATATATTATGAACCAAGTACTTTATGTAACTTACCTTAATTTTACAACATTCATCTAAGGTAGGTAATGTAACCTTCACTTTATTATTACTACTACTACTATTATTATTATTACTATTATTACTTGAGGCAAAGTCTCACTCTGTTCCCCAGGCTGGAGTACAGTGTTGTGTACTTGGCTCACTGCACCCTCCGCCTCCTGGGTTCAAGCGATTCTCCCAACTCAGCCTCCTGAGTAGCTGGGATTATATGCACCTGTCACCATGCCCAGCTAATTTTTATATTTTTAGTAGAGTCGGGCTTTCCTCATGTTGGCCAGGCTGGTCTGGAACTCCTGACCTCAGATGATCCGCCTGTCTTGGCCTTCCAAAGTGCTGAGATTACAGGCGTGAGCCACCACGCCTGGCCTGCCTTGTCTTTATATATGAAGAAATTGATACATTTTATGTATGAGGAAAAGGCAATAAAATGATCCCAATGTCATGTATGTTAGTAGCAGAATGGTGTTGATTCCAGAGCTCATGTTCTACCCTTTCTATCATACTTCCTCAGAATCCCAAACTGTGTCTTCCACTCTATTCATCCCTGACACCTATTCCACATGAAATCATTTAAGACTTTGGTGTGTTAAGATCTTGTATTAATTCTTCCATGCTTTATCTCCAAGGCCTACAACAATGCTCAGAGTAGGCATGCTGAAAGAATGAAAGGCTTTCCATATATCTGAGTAGCATATTCCTTGGGCTTTAGGGACTTTGAAGACTGACGACAGTGTGGTGGTGGGGGCTTTATGGAGAAGGTATAGTAAAAGGCCTAACACATGATGTCGTGGAGACTAGTGGCTGGTTAACAGAAAAAGTCAGTTAAAGCTTCTTATTTAACACTGCATCATAAAGTCAGCATTTTCAAATGCTGTTCCAAATGTGTTCCAAATGCAAAAAGAAGAAATAGAAATGCAAACTCCATTTTTGTTATAACTATAGGATATCCAAACCCCCAAACAGGTGAAAAAGCTGTCAAAAGCAGGGAGCTCCGGCAGGGACTCCTTTGCTTCACAGAAGGAAAAGAAGAAAGGATGCTACAGGGAGAGGACAGGGAAGCTGGAGATCTCAGGAAGACCTGCAAAAATATGTACTTCCTGTGGGTAAAGGACACACTCCGGTACCAAATTAATTCCTTGTTTTTAGAAGGCAGGAACTTCCTTGGACCTGAAGTTGAGGCTAAATGAGAAATCACACAAGCTACATTTGCCTCACAGACGTGGTCTCCATGGTAGTAGAGAAGACAGCCTTTGCATTGGGGAGATGCTAAGAGACACCTTGCCTATCTCGATTGGCTGGCTAGAGACTAAGAGTACACGGACTCACCCAGAACCCTAAATCAAGGGAACAACTGTAGCCAGCCCAGAACACAGTTTTGGTAGCTCCCCCAGCAAGCATCCTGCAAACAGCTGGTCCCTGAAAAACTTGCCTATTTAAGCATACAAAAAATCTAAACAGGATCTATAAAAAATATACAGTGAGGAAAAATTAGGAAAGAAATAGGAAAACCAAATGGCAGACTAAGACCACACACTGGAAAAGGGCCTCCATGGACTAGATACAATGGTAATAAAATATTTTACACAATGAAAAAAAGAAAACTTGACAAAATAGTTGTCTCTATGAAATGAGAGCTCAAAGCAGAAATACAAGAACTTCAGCAGAGGTAGGGAGATGAGAAGAGAAGACAAGCTGTATACTAGCAGAACTGAGGAAAGAAGTGAAAGGAAAAATACTGTTATAGAAATGAAGGTGAAACTGGACGAAGCAAAGGGAGAAGAGAGACTGCTAAAAACACACTGGGAACAAAAGGAGAGAAATGAAAAAAAAAAGAAACCAAAAAGGGCTAAAAGAAATAGAGAAGAAACAGTTACAAAAGACAGCAAAGGAGATGTAATATTTGCATAAAAGAAAACTTTAACATGAATGGGAAAAATATGTAAAGATATGTTCATAAAGATAGAATCTAAGATGTTTCTGAACTATAAGAGGATTGGGGTCTACACACTGAAAGGTCACACTGTATCCCAGGGAAAACAAATTCACAATAGGCAGTACCAAGATACACCTTTAAGTAAGGTTTCTGGGTTCCTGCAACCAGGCAAAAAGATCAAATCACTTAAAAGAGAAACAAAATCATGAAAATTTCCACATTAATATTTGATGCTAACAGAAAATGGAACAATACCTACAAAATTCTCAAGGACAGAAAGTGTGACTCAAGGACTTTACTTATTTTTATTTTTATTTTTGAGATGGGGTCTCGCTCTGTCACCAGGCTGGAGTGCAGTGGTGTGATCTCGGCTCACTGCAACCTCCACCTCCTGGGTTCAAGCGATT